GGGCTGGCATTGTGAGACGGAATTCTTTGAGTATTCAGAGTATTCTGCTGCGGCTGAACGGTCGCCTGCTTGTTCATTTGATTATGCTGCTGCTCCAACTGATTATGCAATTGCTGCTGATAATACGGCCCATAACCGTTTTTCTGAGGTAATATTTTTGCTTGTTGCATTCCGTTTTGAATGTATTGTCCATTCATTTGCGTCGGATAAGGACTAGCTGGCTTTTGCGTTTGCGACAAAGGAATTATTTGATTTCTTGGATGGGACGCCTGCGTCTGCGGATATACCGACTGCACATATTGCGTGTACCCATTCTGAGTGTATCTGATCTGCTGTTGCAGCTGCGGTGAATAGGACGTCGGTTTCGAGGTGTTGACGGGAATACCAGCATAGGTTTCTCTACGATCGACCACGTCTTTGCCTTCGTTCGCGCAAGACCCGCAAGACTTCTTATCCGTTAATGATCCAATCGAATCGCCTGAATTCGGTCGTCTAAATGTGGGTTTAATGGTGTCTGGAATCAGATTAATGCTTCTCAATTGATCCTGGAAAGGTTTTTACATGATTAGTCTATAATCATATGCATATTTGTATTGTTACAGTTTAACATGTATACCTAGTTGACGATGTACAACTGTGCTGTTGCGAGTCGTATCAGTGAGTGAAAAATTACTTTTTATTTTAAATTGACGTTGTACCGTTAATATCGGTATAGGTTTTATCACTGCTTTAATATTTATGTTGAAAAATTATTTATGTTTTATCCAATTACAATACATAAAGGAAAAATAGTTTCTCTTCACAAAATTTTATGTTAAAAATAAAATATAATATTATGGAAACAGTATAATTTAATTTAAACAAGCATCGTCTGATATACCGTATAATACGTGGCTATCTGGATAAAAGATATACCACCGTTCACGAGTACTTCAAGCGGATTAAATTGAATAGAGAAGCTCTCTACCGTTCTGGCTTTCCGTAAGAATAATTATAAAGAATTTAATTAATAAATATTTTCGAATAAACGTCTATTCGCGTAATCTAGTGACACGTAACACCGTTATTCGTGCGATGGTTATAATCAAATGGACATGAGCCCCTCGAATACATTGCTAAACCGTATAACAATCGTAACGATGCGTAACGCTAGGTTTTTCTATATTGTTCTCGTGAAGGTATCACAAAATCCCGAGAATGCATATTGTTTTGCAGACTTTCACAAATTATTTCTTTATTAGTTTAAAAAAAATTAAAAGAACAAGCAAAGGGAAAATTAAAGAAAGTTTTCTTCCAGCTCCGCTAACGTACGGTTGCTGCTCGGAAATTTTAAAAATTGACCTCGCCATTAAAAATCTACTGACTACCGAGACATACATATAAGACATTATGAATTTGCTGCCACAGACTCACGAACTCATTCTGTTTCGGCATGAATTAATTTTTTCAGTCAACATTATATTGTACCGGAAAAGTACACTAAAATCGACATTCCTATCACTATAAATTTACTTTTCAGCTTTATTTAGAATCGAATCCGTATTCAAATTTACGTGTAAAGTGTCAAGCACTACATAGTGTTAAAAGAGTGACACGTAAAAAATTTATGCGCTTTTTTAAATCATATCATCTGCAAAAAGTCTTATATTACATTTCTTAACTATTTTAATAATATCATTTATTTATATATTTAACAGTAATGGTCCTAATACTGTTCCCTGTGGAGCTCCTACATTGCATTCAATTTCATTAGATAATATATTATTATATTTGACTTGTTATTTCCTATTTCTCAGATAGTTTTCAAACCATTTTAGTACTGTTTTTTGTACTCCGTATTTCTCAAGTTTTCTCAATAGTATTTTACGATCAACAGTTTCAAACGCTCTTTTAAGATCTATGAATACTACTACTATACATTTTCTATTATCACAGTCTTGTTTCCATTCAGATATCGTACATTACAATGCTGTCTCGCAAGAATAACTATTCCTAAATCCCGATTGATATTGAGTTAGTATGTATGTATGTGTTAGTGTATGTATCATGGTAATATGGTATGTACCTATCTAGTAGATCGACCCCGTTCGAAATACGGTCCTAATATCTTCTAGATATATAAATCTGAGAAATAATTAAAGTGAATCACCTTATGTTATTTTTATTATGACGTGTGCTTATTACCCACCCTCGGCTGATACAAAAGTACTAAAAGTTTTATTATGTCTTCTGCATCGGTGTGATATTCTCAAACTAATGTGAAAAGAGCAATAAATAGGTTTATGATATTTTCTGCTTTACAATTTTATTAAACCATAATGAATATGTCTAAGAAATATATTATAAATAAAATACGAAATTACTTTAGAAAAGTTTATCTAATAAGTCAAATTAATAAATAAAAATATAGCAAGATACAGTAGATATTATAAAGTCTGTTTTAATTTATTATCTGATAGGTGTAAAGAGATTATCCTCATCTTTGCCATGGTCAGGTGGTTTTGGCAGCGATTTTTTTTGCCGGATATTACTGTGCCATATTCCGTACAAGAAATATATTCCCAAGCCTGCGATAGTACAATTAACACGCTCATTATTTGTATCGATATACTTATAAATACATTCTCGTAATGCACTCACCAATTACCATCCATACAGCGAACTTTATCCATGTATCTTCATCCAGCGTAAACATAAGATAAATATTAATAAGAATACTGAATCCCGGCAAGACTGGCACTAGCGGTACCTAACATAAGCAATATTTCAAAATTACTTGAAATGATAATTCTCTAACATACTATACATATATATATTAAAAAACAATTAAAAGAATTTACAAATATTATATCAGCGATAAGATTAATTGAAACTAAAGAATTTGATATATTTAATATGTTAATTAATAGTATTCAATAATAAAAGAAATGAACGAAAGATATGAACATTCTTATGCATATTAATGTTGAAAGTTACGAGTTAACAAAATATTAACAAAACATGACAAACAATTAAAAACATATATCATACCGAGAATGAGAGTTTCTTGTCGGAGCTTGGTTGAAAATAAATGAAAACGAGAGTGGTTATGAGTGCAACGATTAAAATTATGAGTGGTACTATAACAGTTGCTTTTCCTGCGCTGATTTCTGTTACATACATTGATAACAAAATGGCCGTACAGATACAAAAGACGACTGCAAAAGAAATTGTCAATATATATGAAACATCTCGAGAGGACCAACGTTTGTTGATCCAAGTTGAAAATTATGACAAGTCTTACCATAGCAGCAAACAAGTGCGGTAACAATTTGCGCTGTGAGTTTCGTAGAGTGCTTTAATTTGTTTGCTCTTACCAGTTGTTTTGCGATAAATACGAAAGACCGAGGATTATGATCGCCCTTTTTTTCATACGCTTCGCTTTCCTCATATCTACGACAGATAAAGATGTATTTGTTATCGACGAAGAGGAGATTTCATCAATATATGATTAAGCTGTTCAATGTGTTTTAATTTCAGTTCACTTAATATTTTAAAAGCTCAAAATATAACACTATACGTAATCCTTAAATGTGTAACTTTCATAGTAGCCTGAAATTTTTTAAAATAACTAATGACTGCTTAAGGAATCTGGAAAAAATATTTAATAAATTCAATTTTACTCATTTGAACTTCCCCAGAACGGAAAGAGCCAACAAAGCACAGAGGCTTTCTCTCTAAAAGAGAAACAGATGACAAGAGCCAGAGAAAGTTCTTTATACATAGATGTTCATAACTGTGTTTTTTATTTCGAACTTTCTAAGGCAAAGTACACGGAACATCAAAAAATCTCTTTGCATATGCAAAACTGCGCACTCAATGCTTAAACAAAATTATAAATACAAATTCTTTACCGTAAGATAAGAACACAAGATGCAACAATCGAGTATGTAAGCAATGTGCAGATACTCATCATGTTGACTAATGGTTGAAGTTCAAATATTGTCGCTAAAACACCTGTAATATGTTATTAAGTAATTATAAAATTAAGCAGTTCGTAATTGTTTGGTATAACAATTAATAATTACGAACCTGTAAGTAGCCCAGCAGAAAGCGTACCCATGATCGGAGTGTGAAATCGCGAGTTTATGTTGCCCATCCATCTAAAGATCAGTCCATCTGAGGCCATGGCGTAAATCACACGCGGTAATGGAAACATCGAACCTAGCAGACTGAAGTAATTAATCGATAAAGAGAAATATTGTTTGTCCCCATTTCAATAAACGCGAGCCTTTCATAAAATATAGATTAAGTTCTAGAAGGACCCTGCCCGCTTTTCTGTTTTAATTCCATGTAACTCGATTTTTAGTCGAAATTTTTAGATTCCAATTAATATTTAAGAGTAAAAAGATTAACTCAACTTCAACTATTATTTGAATACTTATTAGTCAAAATTTCGACGTTTTTGAAACATTCTAAATACGCCGGCAAAGAAAAATTTTAAAAATTTAAATAAAAACAAAGCTTCCTCTATGAGGAAGCAGCAGATATCTTATTATTTATTTTTCTTTACTTCAACTTATAACTTTTATACAGATATTTTTGAACATTCCACTTCATCAGTGACTAAATTTTCGAAAAGAATAATTTTTTTATTTTTAAGTACCAAATGCGGTCTAAAAATGTTGATTAGAACCCGAATTATAGATTCATATAAAGATTCGAAATAGAAAAACGCGTAGACACCTCCTAAGATTTAAGTTAATACAAAATTCTTGAAATATGTTTGTGAATTAAGTGAGATTTTATCGAAACGTCACATTTACATTTACAAATGTTGCATTCACGAACTAGTGAAAAGCAAAGTACTCTATTTATTGCATTTGGCAGAATACTAGAATAGCGTTTCAAAATATAGGACCCAGTTAGTTATAGAATTATGTGAGAATCATTTGATTTATTAAAAACATCTATTCTTTTTCTAAAGAATTACCTGGCGCACAGTCCGCTAATCGCTCCGACTGTCACGAACCACTTGGCCCAATCCCATCCTATCACGTTAAACATGTGCGGAAACGGTGCTCTGGCATCTTGTTCATAGAACGGTAGCACGGTGGTAAGCACTACGGAAACGCCAAAGTACGCGAAAAAGACGATTGTTAGCGATACGATAATTGCTATGGGAATGGACCGCTGTGGATTCTTGGCTTCTTCTCCCGTGGTGGCCACGCAATCAAAGCCGATGAATCCATAAAAGCATGTAGCCGCTCCTGTTATAATGCCTGATACACCGTAAGGCATGAATCCCCCTTGCCCTTCTTTGCAGTCCAAGCAAGTAGAACAGTCACTGCAGTCGGAGCAAACGGGTTCCGTTTTCCAGTTATTAAAGTCAGCTACAAATCGTACAAATTTTATTAGTTATTTTATTAATGTCAGCTGTAAATTGATGTAAATTTGATTGTTACATCTTAACTTATAAATTTATAAATATTATACATATGTACTATAATAATCGACTCTTTTTAAAATATATTAAAATCAATAGTATAATTATTCTCATAAATTGATAATATATAAATAATATATTTTACTTTTAGTTGACTTATTAACTTGATATTTAAGAAAATGAGTTTGAAAGAGCCTTTTACCTTTCAAAGAACCGGCAATTATGACGAAAAGTACAACAGACAGATTCACCAGAGTGAATATATTATTCACCATTGAGGATTCACTGGCTCCAAAAGCAAGAGCGCCTAAGAAGAGAATTGTATATTGTTTCACTTGTTTTTATTATTATCAAGCAATGTATCGAGCTAATGAATTAATAGTGCAGAATTTATACGCATGTGTTATAGATATACGCAAATATGCATTTTAAATCTTTTTCATCAGAAGTATTTTATGCATTAAAGTCCGCGAGATTTGATTAGGCTGGTTGGCAATTAAAAAATTCTTTCATCACCTGAGAATATCAGAGTGACGCCAAGTGCAAAAAAATCCGGATATGAGGACAGACTACTGACATTCATAGGCATCACTGATTCCAAGGAGTTTCTCATAGTGTTGTTAAAGAGTACGTCAACGTAAGTGCTGAGAGCGCGTACTACGCTGGCAGAACCGATCACATATTCCAGAATCAGGGTCCAACCCATGAGAAATGCCACGAATTCACCCATTGTCACATAGCTGTAAATATACGCCGATCCGGCACGAGGAACTCGTGCACCAAATTCGGCGTAACAAAGACCTGAGAAGAAGATATCACAAAATTTAGAAATACAAGTAGGATTCGTTTAAATTACTTAACGAAAACTCTAGTTTGTTTTTACAGCAATCAACAAAATTATTATAAAAATAATTTTTTTATGAAAGCTTTAAGGAGGAGGGAGGCAAAAGATTTTAAAGGATGGAGATCTTATAGTCATCTTAATAGTTTAGGTATATGTATAAAATTTTCACGACTTTGACGGGGGAGAGACAGACCCCCTCTCTCGCCTATACATTCGATTTTGCGATCATTACAACTGTGTTCACCTCTTTTTCGTTTTTATCAACGTTTTATTTGGTGAATAATACAAATAAATTAATTAATTTTCCATGTCTTCTATGTCTTCTACGTCATGCTATTCTTTGTCATGCCTGATACAGCGCGTTAAAAAATAACTAGAAAAAAACACGCACACGCACACGCACACCCACACGTACACGCACACGCACACGCACACACACACACACACACACACGCGCACACAAAATTAAATTGAAAAGTATAATTGACAAATATGACAGTTTTAAAGATATTCTGTTAATAACAGACGCGGGCATTATAATTCTTTTTAATTAATGTAATATAAATCGGTAGATATATGTTACTATATCCGAATTTATTTTTACAAATATATTAAAGAGGTTTACCAATACCACTTGAATAAAGAAATGTTTATGATGTTAATGTACGTTTATTAGTAGTCAATAACATAATAAATCATTACTTATCAAGTATGCGAAATGACTAATCGTGAACGTTATCTTAAAATTATCGATTAATTTATCAGATCGATTAATTTCTTTCTCAGGAATTCTTAAATCCCAGATATGGCAATGGCATTCTCGAATAGAACACTTTATCTCAATCATCGCGCTTTAAAACAAGGTCAACGATTTTCATATGACATTCTGTAAAATTTGCATTATTTCCACCGCTGAGAATGAGATCTGCTCAGGCAGCAGTAAGAGGACTGGAATGCGGACCACACATACATTCGTTATTAAATATTATTTAATTTCGAAGTTTCTTGAAAATACGTGTTTTTTTTCAGAAAGAGAAAATTTGTTGGAGATGTGTTCAAAATTATGTTTTAATCAAATGTATCATAAAGAAGGAAAATCGATCATGTTCGCCGACCTTTCACGCGTAAATATAATCTAAATGCGTACCAGCGAACATCGATGCTATTGCAGCGATAGCGAATGAAATGATCACGGCAGGTCCAGCCTGGCATTTCGCGACGGATCCTGCCAGAACGTATACACCTACTCCCAGAGTAGAGCCAATTCCTAAAGCTGTGAGATCGAGAGTCGACAAGACCCTCGCTAATGTACCCTCCTGACTAGTATCCACTACTTTTCTGCGACTAACTGCCTCATATAAGCTGCGTAATGTCCACTTCATTTTATACAGCTAGAAAATAACATACACGTACGATTAGTAATTAATTTAAACATCGAAAATATTTGTAAGTCAGTCAGCACAGAGATTTGGGGAATTTTATAATTTATTTTTCGACGAACTTAGAATTTCGAAGGAAAGATCGAAGTTGAAATTATTCAATACCGATACGATAGCATCTACCGATTAACTTATTAATAAAAATATAAATTAATTCCACGAATAAGAAAAATTATTCTTCTCCTAATTTATTTATGTATATCGTTCCAGATATGCCTTCTCGCTTAGTAACGATATTTTTATGCGACTCGTTAAAGCGATTCATAAAGCGATGTATGTACATGCGGCCAAAACAATTGGCAAAATAATGGGCTACTTACTACGATGAGTTTTGTCAATGAAAAATCCATTTTTTTACGAGTAAATGTGAAGACGTTAAGAACAAATTTCACCAACTGTCTGTCGGACAGTCAACGCGCGACTGTTCAACGAATAAAGAGAGTTAATTAAAATGCCTTATATAAATCACGTGACGGCGCCGGCGCTTCTTCTTCAACACTTCTTGTCACTTAATTGGCCGAATTGTCTCGCATGTTAGTAGAAGAGCATTTCTACAAGTAAACTTCTGTCTATATATATTACGGCTAACCATCGATACTTCATTGCAAATGTAAACACCCATCTTCTCTCTCAGTTGACTTAAACATTTCCAAGAAGCAAATTGAAAGTTTTCTAATCTCGTTTCTCGAATTCATTCGTACGGTTCTAGTTTTGGGTGGTATTAGATTTGGTTATACAATCATACATTTGGAATCTAGCGGATTTTGATTCGAAGAAAAATTTATTTAGCCATATATTGTCGTTACACATAATTAATGTAAATATCTTTAGTAGCAAAACTTAATTAAAGCATTAAATGATAAATAGAATGAAAGTAATGAGAATGCAACGCGATTTTTATGTTATCAATATACATCGATATTCTTTAACTAAAATTAGCTGCATTCATAGTTACAGTTTATCGTTTATTTTTCTTCTATTCATTTCAAGAAAAGAACAAACAAAGAACGGTCGAAGAAGAGCACTACAATGTAGAGCGATAAAATTGCACTCCTTAAATTTAATTATCAAAGAAAATGCAATTGTCCGTCGGACAGACGTCGACGATTTGGGGCTTGGAGATGGAAAGCGGATTTTGGGCTGAGGTGGGAAACGATTTATCAATAATCCATCGTGTACAAATCGACGTAAAGGTGTGTGTTTAATGTAAATATTTAAACAAGTTGATTTGCCGTTCTATTGCTTAGTCTGCAATATTGAATACAACCTTTTGAATCGGCGTTAAATTGTAGGTCCCATATATCTAACACATAGATATATGGATATCATAATGCTCGAAATTGAACAGCTAAGAATAAGAAGAATACATAATTTACATAATTATCGACAACAGTCGTTATTGGTACCCACCTCTGAAAGATTGAAATAATGTTATTATTTTTAAAGATGCTCTTTCCCTCTTTTTAATACATTTCTGCGCTATACCCAGATAGCACACATAGTTTTATGAATATTCTTCTGGGGTGCACATATTCTTAATTTTAGAATATTCGGAGAGAAAGAGAATCGAATATTCTATAAATATATATAAATTACTACAATTAGAAATCGTATATTCATAACAAAGAAGAACGTTTTTAGAATATTCGTCGAGAATGTCTTTGGAATATTTGTTAAAAATTATTTTTGAATATTTATCGAGTTTATGTATTGCACATTGTTTATTGTGTAATACACTTATCTTATGTGAAACCTGTGATCATACTGACACGTTATATTCGATAGATTATTCTATTCACATTCGAAAAAGATTTATAGTAGTGCTAGTCGAATATTATTATACACATATATCGCGCGCGCGCGCGTGTGTGTGTGTGTGTGTGTGTGTGTGTGAGTGTGTGAGTGCGAGTGTGCGTGTGCACGCGCGTTTGAACAGAGAAACTACCTACTTCGTGCTGAATATATTATTCGTTGCTGTTGGAAATCGTCGGAGATGCGACCGGCAGCAATGACATCCAATAATAAAACTCACGTGTAAATCTTGACATAAATCATCCAAAGGAGATGTTCTTCTTCTGGTCCTTTGATTTTGTCGATATTAAAGGTAAAAATAGAAATTGAGTATAGTTAAATTTGATTCGTTGTCATTTGGCGTGTGTGACCATCTTCCTCAAGCTTGCAGGAACGAACTAAAGAGGAAGGCTTGGGAACGTATCTTCTTTATGATGGTAATCGTATTATCATAAGTGTGTAGAGGATAACCGATATCTTGTCCAGTGATAAGCAGAATAAAGCGAATAGTAGTATTTGTGAAAACAATATCAAGTTCGTATACGCATTACTTATAACTGCAGAATGTATCGTTCAGGTACGTTCCTAGCGCTAAAAATAATGAAATTTTCGGGAAAAATCTTATTTTCAAAGAGTGTATTCAATCATTTTACAAGGTATGCAGTTCTTTTATTTAAAGATTAAAGTATGAAAGAAACGTTTTAGTTAAAATATGTTTATAAATTGAATGTAGAATGGAACACAAGCGCGCGCACACGCACACGCGCACGCACACGCACACACGCACGCACGCACACACGCACACGCACACACACACACACACACACACCTGCGCGCGCACACACTGAAAATACGTGTAAGATCAACTCTTATATATTCAAATTAACGCGTTCATTGTTTTGTATATACGCAACAATCTATAAACTTCTTAAAAGCATTTAATAATCTTACATTCCAACAATATTACAGTATTATTTAAATACTACAATTGTCACTTCAAGAATATATATAATTATTGTGATAATAAAATCACTTTAATCGTTATAATCTTCGACAATATGTTATTTTCTATCGAATATTGTTTCTTTTCCATTCAAGAAAATTATTCTTAAATAATAAGTATATATTTTTTATTGAATTATGTAAAATTGCTTCATTCAAGTAAGTTTTTCTTTGTTTAACACAATATAATCTTATTTCAAGATTCACGTTGAAACTAAACATATTTTCAAAAGAAGAATATTCTTCTTTTTCTGTGCGCACACGCACACGCGCGCACATAACTGTATTATGCACATGGACAAATTGAAGGAAATTCTTGAGAATACGCGCTATTTTTTTAATGTTGCCTACTATAAGTGAAGAGGAAATAATAATAATTTTACAATATATAGCCTACTAATGTTCTATTTTTGGGCAAGAGGAAGAGTATGTACACCATAAGTTATCTACCATTCAGGTAACACTTTTTTTTGTATTTAACACGTTAAAACTCTCAATGTAGAAAAACTTTAATTAAATTTAATTACAACGTAAAGAATTATTTAATGCCAGTAATTGATTAAACAATTTTGAAAAATTGCATGATGACCAATGGCTGGCAAATTCTAATAATTAAAGAAATTCATTGCGAAAAATATTACCTCAGCCAGGGTTTGAACCTGGACCTCCCTACACTCTAGGCGGGCGTCTCAATCAATTAGACCACTACATTGTTTAATTATGTTTAATTATTTTCTAATAAAGTGCCGTAGAATCAATACGAAGATTCGAGACCTTGGCAGATCACGAAGTTCTCTGTACGGGGCGACCGTTCCACGACTATCCGTCACTGGCGTGCATGTGTCAGCACTGTCAGCTGCGTTTTGAAGTTAGACTCAATCGTTTTGTGATAAGTTCTCTCCCTCGTAATCTCGTGTCCGTGCCTCTCTATTGGAATGTCGAATCTCAAGTTGCATTTCGCGCTAATTGTTATCTTCTGCGCATCTCTCGGTAAGTGATCGGAATCCCGAAATTGCACTCCTTTTAATTCTCCTAATGGTATTTTTGTCCGTAGGCCACGCCCTGGAATGTTACGTTTGCACGGATCAGGAAGGCAACCGACATAAATGCCTGAACACCATCAAAACCTGCGAACAGGGACAGGATGTTTGCCTCACGGAGGTTAAATGGGGCAGTGAGAAAACGTTTATTCGGCTCACATTCTTTGCGTTTGATTCTTTGAGGTTATGTGCGCGTGCGCATTTCGAGCGTGTATCAACCTTCCAGTTTGAGTCAATAATTATTTCTCATAATCGCTCTTTATTAATGATATTTATTATTGCTCTTTATTGCGATAAAAACATATTTAATTAAACCATATCGTATCGATACCGATATCTCTTGGGCAGTGGTGGGAGTTAACCTGAGCATTTTGTTGTCAAGTGGAAATACGATATTTCAGTTGAAAATAGATAACCCAATTAAAAAATTGTATTTATTAGATTAGATATACCTGACTGATAAACCGACACTCTATACATGATATCATATATAGTGGCAATACGATATTACATAGGGATAATAAGCTTGATGATTATAGGTACACCCTATTGGTCCCAGGGTGCTAAGAAACAATATTACGTATCTAAGAGATGTGCTACTAAAAGGGAGTGTGAGAGACTACAGCGCAATAATATGCCCGATTGCACTCATATCTGGTATCAAGACTGGAAGTGTTCCTCTTGCTGTCAAGGCGATAGGTGTAACTATTATGTCATTGTAAGTACAGAATCTTAGGTAAGTGATTTGAAAAGATGATAATGCGAATAAGTATTTTATTATTTCAGTCTGGTGGGGACGAAAGGAAAGTACATAGAGGGATATTTGCCATAACAGTTTTGATCTTATTGGGCGTGTCAAGATTTCATTCATTCTCAGATAATTACTTGACGTTTTAGTGACAAATTAATCAATGAATTAATTTCGTCACTGTAGACTGATATTAATTTTATAGTTATACATGCGAAATAATTTTATAATTACACATTTGTAAATTTTACAATTTTGCAAATACTGGGGATGGACAAAATAATGTGAATACCTGACTAACAGACAATATTTGTTAATTAATAAGGTGTAAGGCCACCATTTGCTTTTAAGACAGCTGTAATTCGTCGTGGAATAGATTCGTAGAGTACGGATAGTATCCAACGGGATGTTTTCCCATTCTTCCACTAACACCTCTACCTATTGCCTCAACGATCATGGAGGTAGAAATCTGCTCCTCACTCTCTGCTCCAAAACTCCCTATAGCAGCTCGATGATGTTGAAATTTGGCGATTGTGCTGACCAGGGAAGATGCTTGATAATACTCCGTTGCTCCTCGAACCAAGACTGAACTTTTTTGGCCGTGTGTACGGATAAATTATTGTCTTGGAATATGGCAGTGTTTGGCAGCAATATACTGGTCACAGTAAGAACTTCATTATTGAGGATGTCGAGACATTCATTCGTAGTAATACGGCCATTGAGGGTAATAAACGGGCCAGCAGATGCTCCTGCTAACCGAACACCCACGATTTGACCTCTTTCAAAGTCTGACAGGTCGCCCATTTCACCATCCGATTGTTAACACCGTTGTAGAACAAAGCGAGTAGTATATTGAAATATAAACTAGAACAATTACTACATGAAGTGCGCCACATACACGCGCTGCACCGTTCATATCTTGGCAGGGGACCCAACATAAACAAATGTGTAATATTTAGCAAGGTGTTCACATTATTTTGTCCACCCCTTGTATGTGAGTGTATTTATATTGATCTTTTATTATACACTTTTCTTTTTTATAACATTTCTTGCAATATTGAACACATCACGGACACATAAGCTGCCTTAGAATATTATATTTACACTTTTTTACAATAATTATAACGTAAAAATACATATGTATAATATATAATATGTAAGGTTGTAAAGGGTTGGGGGAACGCTCCTTGAAAAAAGCGCCAATGTACAATGCCCGAAAGGGAATAAACATTCTATTCTATTCTATTCTAATATAGGAACTGCTGAAGATTAAATTTAATATCTGTCAAGATGTGTGGCCATCTCTTCTCTATCGCTTTCATGACCAAATCTTTTGGTTGTTTTTTTGTACTTAAGGTTTCATCAAACCAATAAAAGGTTTCATCTCAGAAGAAATAAATTTGTTCTTAAAATGCAACTACAAAGATTATTATAGGATTTTGATTATAGAATTGTTTGGATAAGATTATCGCTATTGTCGCTGTATCCTTCCATACAGCACGCGTGTCTAAAAGACATCTTTAAAACATCTTTAAGTCGTCTTTTAGACATACATATCTAAAAGACATCTTAAAGACGTATTAAAGATATCTTTTAATACATGTGTGCTGTATGGGGTATATCGCATACTTGCACACTAGTGCCTAAAGTTTTATAAATTTTATAACTTATAAGTCTTATAACATATACAGTATTAAAACTTGAAGATCGATTCATAAAGTATATAACAGATTTATAAACAATGAATATGAAAAGTAATGGTAAAAATAACTGTTATATTCGTTACCGTTACTTAAAAAAGTAACTACGTTACCGTTACAGTTACAGAAAAAAATGTAACGCCGTTACCAATTCGTTACTAAACAAAAGTAATGTAATGGTAACGTCGTTACAAGTAACGCGTTACTCCCCAACCATGACATATATACATATACGTATACACATATTATACATAAGTATAACAATACTTATTGTGATAATTGATACCACGTGTATAATAATGTTTCTTTAACGTATAATTAATGCGAATACTCAGGATGTGCATATATACCTTCGACATGTGTGCGAAGTCACGCGTGCAAAAATGTTTATAATGCCACCTGTACATACACGATAATTATCTTTGCATAAGAATGGAACAAGAACATTTTTGAAATATTCATAAATGAATGTCTGTCGAAATGGCTAAATAGCTAGTAATACATTTTCTTGAGTTTTAATTTTGGTGACGTACACAAACTTTTTACATTCTTCGCTTTTAAAAAATAGAAGATAAAACAATTAAGGAAACTGATGACGTGCTATTGGCTGGGTTATGCTGTTTCTGTCGAGATCAATAACTACAAAAGGTACAAAAGTACCAAGCTGTATGCAAAAGATGGCAACAGTAGTTATATTTTCAGCGAGAGAATATATAATGGTATTAATTGTGACGATTTCGTGCGGCGCAACTACGGGTGCGTTCCATTTGAACGTTTACACGCTTAAAGCGCTTATACGATGTCTCTTAAGCTAGAATACCAAACTGAGCATAATCAAATGAGATACCCGGGGAAGATTTAAATGCTCCATGGCGTAAGAAAATATTACAAAGTGTTCGAAATGTGACGTCATTGTAGCTTTTGGCTCTTAATTTGAACACTTATTGTAATATGTTCTTACGCCAGGGAGCATACTCTCTCATTAACAAGATACAGGGTATCTCCACCGTCACAGACAGTATGTAAGAACAACAATAAATGATTGCCGTATATGCCACACTCAAAATAACCTGGGAACAAATATTTAACAAAATTGGTAAATTTTCTATTTATTTTGGATTTGTTGTATCCGTATACTTACCAAAGACAGACATTCAAAATGCGTTGAAGTATCGCTGTAGAAATTTATTGACCGTATAACGATTGGATTTAAAAGATAAGCACAGTACGTGAGCCTACTGAAAGGGATCCAGCCTTTGAACGATAGTAACTGATTAACGATTCCTAGAACAAAACCGAGCATACAATAAATAAAATGACATGTTTTGAAACGATGACAAAACTTAAAATATAAAATATCACTATTATCTTAAAAGTGTAACAATTTAATAAGAATGTATACTAATAAAAAGAAACAGACCTCCGTGGTTAGTGGAACACGCTATTACAATCCATGCTATACCTATAGCCAAAATTATTTTGTGTAGTGCTACATAAATAGCACTAGCCAGAACGGATGGGCGTCGCTTGTAAAACACAAATAATACACCAATAATGCAAACACTAGCAAGCAACCAACACAACATTATAATTTTCTGAAATATACATATGTAAAATTATTATAATACATTTTTATTTATGCTATGACATATAGTCGATTGATACAGATCTGTATATACAATAAAAGTAAAATTAATATTTTACCCTTTTCAAGACCAAAGTATTGTTCAATTTTGCTAAAACGTAACCTACAATCATTCCAATAATATATGGATTTATTCTCATCCATGGTGGTGTATATATCACATGCATAAGTTCAGCAAGTTCAGTTAACCTGCAACAGTGAGAAAATGGTCCTCTTAATTAATTTCATAATAAACATATTATTTTGATAACTTACATCAGAGTATATTTGTGAACGTATGAAATATAACCGCTAAGAATAGCAGAGCCTATTAAAAGTACACTCAATATCGTAACAGCACCGTAAAAGTATCTGAAATTTATAATATATATTTATTAACATATACACAAAGTACTAGTTATAAAATCATCCGTATTCGATTAACTTACACAGTCGAAAAAATCAACAGCATGGTAGCGAGTATGTAATATTGCATATCATTAGCTAGATACCAGCTCCAACTCAGGCACTGTAGTAAAAATTATATGTAGAATGAAACTTTTATGCGCCTCTAAACATAATTTTTAGCTGATCCAAATATGTACGTACCATGTCATTAAAAGGAAAAAGATTATTTATGTACAAAAGATTTATCCACAAGTGCTTTGGACAAGTTTCGTGCGACCTCTCATACATGTAAAATTGCGATGTCTTATCGAACCAATCAGAACTTAATTGTGATAGTCCAATCACTATCATGTAAGCCGGCGTCAACCTTAACAAAATTTTATTATAAATGTGTGGAAAATAAAAAATTATTTCGGTGCGTACAATAATAAGAGAAAATACCAAAGCGCGGAACTCTGCAAACATTTCTTTCTTGATTTTTCATATTTTCAAAAAATTAAGATAAAAATTATTTATAATATTTTCACATCTTTCCACTAATCACATTTATTGTTAATATCTGTCATAGTGTTATTGTGTTCGTGAAATAATTGCCACTTTAACGCTATTCACGGCATGCCAGATGAAATGTACTATACACTATCGAAGAACTATTTATTATTATCTTTTACCTCTTTACTGGATACTATTATTTATTATCGAATTGCTTTTATTGCTGTCTGCAATAATCACGATAACATACCTTATAAATCTTTTTGTTGTATGTGTGAGAAGATATATTATCTTCTGTCTGTAATTTTGAAGCTCCTTTTTTGCGCTCGGTTGTTGTCGCAAATATGAATACGTTATAAAACAGCCACTTGACAAAAAGAATACTTCGACTCCTAGAACTACGATGTCCATTAAATACATATGATCCTCAAGGAATCTCCATACTTCTGCTTTATTGTCTGTGAACATCAACAATCTATGTTATGAGTGTAAAAAACACCAGAGAAATTTATTTTACAGATACAGTTTAAATTACTTACCGAGAGTATCCCACGAAAAATATAGGGTGTGGAACACGATTAAGCCATACATGCTTAAAACTTTTAAGCCATGAATGACTGGTATTGTACCGGCTTCTAATTTTGTATTAAATATGTTTTTTGTATTGCTGTATACGGAGAAACATCTTAATATTTTTCCCATGTTATTCTCCGGATACAAAGGTAAATTGAAAATTATTTCTACTTGCTGGGACATGTAGTTTCGACCTGATCGTCATAATTAAAAATTTTTATGATTAAGAAAAAAATTTTAATGCTTTAAGTAAGAATTATTAATATTGAATAAAGAAAATCTCTATAAGTGGTGTACATGCATACACATAATATATAATAGTACGCAAAAATTGTATTGCTGATTATTAATAATTTAAAATATTAGATAATTGCAAAAATAATGGCACATAATTAATTAATTAATGAATTATGTACCATTATTTTTGCAATTATCTAATATTTTAAATTATTAATTATTAATTATTATTATTTTTTTTAATTATTTAAATAATTTCGATATAGAATCTGTTTTGTAGGAAGTAAAAGCTATAATACATATATCGAAATTGTATGTGGTCTTTTAAAAACTTCAAATAGAAATTTTTCTAAAAGTTTCGGAAGTGATACTTACTGCGGTTAGTATTAGTTCTCTCATTTCCTTTTGCCAGCTTTTGATACCAAATAATATCGTATACTGTTCCGATTATTGCCATAAGAAAAACTATTAAAACTACACTGCAAATAGAATAATTCTTTATTAATTTTTACACTTTTACATAACTAATATAAAAATCATGTATAATATTTACATATGTTGTTAATGTTTGTAAAATTGTTATTATATGAGTGAAATAATTTTCACGTTTTTTTATGACGTACCTGAAGAAACCTAATGCACCATAGGATAGCGATTTATTATCTTTTTTGAAATCTTTTATCCGGATCAGCTGTAAGTTAGTTGAATTGAGATCATCGATGAAGATACTTCTATCATGAAGTACACTTTCCAATATGGAATTTAAGTTTTGTATAGTGCATGATGCTGGTAAACAGAGTCCGAGCGTAATCACATCCTGAAATCAACCTTTCTATATATTTAAATATTAAATATGAAATGATATTACGTTTCATTATTAAACCTAATATTTCAATGGAATCTCTTGATCGTATTTTATGTTTTTCGTGTCGTATTTCGTTTTATAGAAATTTTATAAACTTACCTCGTTATTTACATATGTGTGATATTGTAGAGTACTGTTGTGTCTAATATGAGCGGCAAAATAATTTATTTTAAAAGGCGGAAATCTTTGCGGATCATGATACAGAATGTTATTTAACATTTTTTGTTCTAAAATCTGTAGAGGATTCGTATTCATTGTATCGATGCACTGACTACGACTTCCTAACCAATAATTGTTTCCGTAGAGGAACCCTGGTTTAAATCTGCCGCTTGACTCTAACACTGAAACATAAAAATTTGAACCTTTTTATTTACACAAACTAAGGATATACCAACTTTTATTTGTTGCTAGTCACTTAATATTTTCATTAAGCGTATAGATAAAAGTGAGAAATAATCTTTGTATATCTTGCATTATCAGAATTTCTTCTGAATATGGTAATTATAGTCAAACAATTGAGCATGAAGTTTTATCGGAAGAAATAAAGGAAATAATAATATTAATGAGACAAATTTTTAATACTTATTCCATAAAAATTTAATGCAAATAAATTTAATACAAATAAATATTTTATTAAAATCGCCTTTTCTAATTTAGTTATGGGATACACACGTGTGATAATATAGCACACGTATGTACAAAAGAAAGAAAGAGTTTAACACTTTTGTAAGGAAAGAGGAAGAGCGCAATTAACATTTGGTTTAGCAGCGCCAAGTTTTTTTAATAAACAATGATGTCATGAATCAGGATCGATATGTATCCCACAATTAAATTAGAAAAGGCGATCTTTTAATAAAATATTTATTTGTATTAAATTTATTTGCATTAAACTGTTATGGAATAAGTATTAAAAATTTGTCTTATTAATATTATTTCCTTTATTTCTTCCGATAAAATTTTATGCTCGATTGTTTGACTATAACATTTTAATATAAAAAATAATAATGTACCTAGTTTTTATAAATATTCAGTTTAGTTGGCGCCATTTGATGATATCATTACTTTTGTAGAGAAGATACTTTGGAGGGAGGGAGAAAATTAAAATTTTTCTTAAATAAAAGTTATCCAAATAATTAAATTATATAATTTTTGATTGGATGACGTTTATACTTGGCATCTTTTTAAACCTTTTTTATTAAAAAAAGTTATTTTTTAAGATGATATCACGAATTTTGTAGTTTCAATTACACTGTTATTGAAACATCATTTTTTTCCGTGTACATATGAACATTCGTATATACACTAGGACCAGAATTCATAATTAGATTTTATATTCAAGACTGTTTTAAGATCATCTTTAGATACTCCGTAGCCAATGAAATGTTCCATACAGCATCTTTAGATAAATTCACGATGGTCTTGAGTATAAGATCTGACTATGAATACTGGTCCTAGCATACATACATACATACATACATATGTATGTACATACATATATGTATACGCATATAAAGGATGTTATGAATAAGGTGTCCATCCGCTCGTATACAGATAGAACGGCTGAACAGAAAAGTATTATATTTTGTAAAATTTGCAATAGTTATCGAGTAATTCTATAAAACGTTTGAGCGAATAGACGCGAGGAAAGCGGTAGGTCGGACTCGATAGGCATCTGATAGTGAGAAGTGAAGCGATGCGTGGCCTATAGCACGGCGCCGAAATGAATTGAATTATTTTTAAATGAGCCACGTATGTAATCTATCGAGTCGATAACATATTTTTCAAGTTAGCAGCGTGATTGTGCCAGTAAGTCGAGCGACTAGAATGCTCGAGTTCGAGACCAGTTTTTCCATTTTTTTATGGTAATATTTTTTGTGTATAAATATTAATGCTATATGAATCCTAAACAAATTTTTATTTCACGAATTTGCATATTATCTGTGGAAAGAGTCATTTTTATTTAATAAAACTGGTTTTATTAAATAAAAATGAAAAAAATTTTAAAATATAATTCACCAAGAAATAAGTTTTATTAATATTACATAACATGACACACTACATGACAGACATGTCTTCGCAACCAGAAGTAACGTTATTTGAAATACATACTTTTGGGTGGTATGAACATTTTTGAGGATAAAACAAGGAAAACGTCGTGTACATTTATCAAATACCACCTAAAAGTATGTATTCCAAATAATATTGCTTCTGGTTGCGAAGATATGTCTGTCATGTAGTGTGTCATATTATATTATATTAATAAAACTTATTTCTTAGTAAATTATATTGTATTATTAAATAAAAATAACTTTTTCTCCAATCAGCCCTAGCCGAACACAAGATTGAGACCGGACACTAAAGAAACCGAATACTAAATAGCAATAGAATTATGATGAAGAATTTGACTTCCTTCGTACCTTTTAAGCTCCATAGTATCCGTTGATCGACAGCATCTCGGAAAATTTTTAATTGTTCTCCGCACGTTGTCGATTTGAGGAAATCATATTTTCCTGCTACGGTGTAAGCGGGCACTGTTTCAGTAGCACTGTTAATCAATTTTAATTTGTGTGCAAAACACAATGTACTAAATTTTATGCACACAATAAACAGTGCAATGTGCCATTGTAATACACCAGTAACCAACATGTTGTTGCGTTCAGGTATATGTTCTGTCCTGTGTTGTAATGTCTTGCACTCGTTTTACCGGCGGGGATCTCTATTTTCACTCTGGAACGTTGCGCTCTGATGTTGTGGCAAGATTATCGAGATTTCATATACCTAATTCCGTTCTTCTGAATACAGTGACCTAAAAAAGAAAGGAAGGGCAGCAAAGCATATCGACAGAGATTAGCGTGGTTGTCAAGACAACCTTAGCGGTAGTCGCCGACAGATGAATATCTGTCTAACTCTAAACTCTAGTGTCAGCCATTAGGCGAAACCGCATGTCGGCCATTTTGGAGGGAGCAAGCCCGTCCTTTGGCGAACGACGTCAGCCTTGCGGCGAATCTTGGTCTGCCCGAAGGCAAGACCTATGTCAGCCCGAAGGCGAAGGCAAAGTCAGTCCGAAGGCGAAACCAAAGTCAGCCCGAAGGCGAAAGCAAAGTCAGCCCGAAGGCGATGTCAATATGCTTTTATGCGTAAAAACAGATGGACCTGTAAATTGGGCACTAAGGAACAAGATATTGTAGGATGGAAGTTGATGAGCGGATAACCGGGCGAGAGAAATAACTTGTAACACTGATTTTAATTGTAAAGACACCACTGTATACATATAATCAAGACGTGCAAAAAAATTGGGATTGGCTGATGTCGTCAGAGAACATAATTAATGTTAGATTTCTTCAGCCAAAAAACAGGCAGATGTTTATTTTGTCTTCAGTTTCTAAATTTTATTTATTTTATTATTAACGTTAATAGTATCTTAATAAAAACGATCATATCTTATATCTCCGCGTCACTTCTAACTGCGTGGTGATTCCCTATCCAGTAAGCAGGAGCCTGTCCGTTTACACAAGACGTTGTAGACGTGTCTATAAGACGTCTATTAGACGCGTCTAAAAAGAGTCAAATCGACATCTATTTAGATGCGAAATTCGATCTACTTTAGACGTATCGAATAGACATCTATTATACGTCTATTCGACTTCACGTTTCTCCCTGGGCACAGTATAACCAGTATGCCCACTCGCTCTTTTGTTTCACGTTCGCGCCGATCCGTACTGCGCATCCGACATGTTTTTATTATAACCAATCACAGGATTTTTGTACGTGTATTAGTGCAAAGTCGGTATGACATGGAAAAATTCGCAGTGTTGACGGATAATGCGTAAATACTTTTATACGTTGGAGCAAATAATTACATTAATTACTTTTTAATTAGAACATTTTCTTTCATAGTTAGAAGTGACGCGGAGATATAAGATATGATCGTTTTTATTAAGATACTATTAACGTTAATAATAAAATTAATCAAATTTAGAAACTGAAGACAAAATAAACATCTGCCTGTTTTTTGGCTGAAGAAATCTAACATTAATTATGTTCTCTGACGGCATCAGCCAATCCCAATTTGTGAACGTCTTGATTATATGTATAATAAAAACTATCAAGTAAGACGCCTATCTAAAACTATGGTAAACAACATATGAGGACACGCCAATGTGGGTCACAAGGCAAGATGTAGGTAGCCCAACTGGTAAATCTTATATTTTTCTGGAAGTCGTGAATCTACAGGGTGGTCCATTTTAATCGACAATCGGAAATATTTCGTCAGGTAAGCCAGATGGAGAAAAATGTTTCAGACAAAAGTTGTATGGTTTCGAGGGGGCCATAAGACGGTACCAAAAGCAAAAAAAAATTTTTTTTAAATTGCTTGTTACAAAATTACAAAATTGTTTGTTTTCTTTACACCAGTTGATTTGTATCATTATTCTGTTCAAAAAAGTATTAAGGTAAGATGATAAAAAAATGAATATTTTATAAGATATTTTGTAATTTACGTCAAAATATTGGAACTTTCAAACCTTAATAACTCAAGAAGTTCTTAATAAAAAAATACTTTATTATAGTGTTTTGGAAAGCTCTCGAGGTTAGCTACAAGAATATGTAATAAAAAATAGGGGATGCCATTTAAAAAAATTGGTGTGACCTTTATGTGACCTTCAAATAATTCTTCAAGGTCAAACCAATGGTACCGTCTTATGGCCCCCTCGAAACCATACAACTTTTGTCTGAAACATTTTTCTCCATCTGGCTTACCTGACGAAATATTTCCGATTGTCGATTAAAATGGACCACCCTGTATATACCGTTTCTTTCCACATTGGTTCTACGCGTCGATTTCTTTTTCGGACATAACGCTAAGACGCCCGTCACGGATTGAGGAGGTCCCAGCCTAGGTTCGAATCCTGGCTGAGGTAATATTTTTTGCAATAAGAATAATTTACAGCACGAGAAAAGGGGGGTATTGAATGCTAAATGTAGCATCAGAAAAATGTTAATATGTAGCATTTTTAATATAATTACAAAAAATCGTTTATCGCTTCGAATACGTGAATTTGCTGACGATAATAATTCCACGTGTAAGAAAACTGCGTTATGTCCAAAAAAGAAATCGGCGTGTAGAACCAATGTGGAAAGAAGCGGTATATATAGATTCACGATTTTCAGAAAAATATAAGATTGTGACCCACATTGGCGTGTTCTCATATGTTGTTTAGTCTTGATTATAATTGCAGAATAGAAAACTACTATAAGAAGATCAAGAATTAATATTTCTATTTTGCAGCCAATCGATACGTTCAAAAAATTATAATATATCATATAATAAATGTGTAAATTAGCGTATAGCTGTGTAAATTACCTCCGTTAATTTGTTTTATAGCGCTTATGCGCATTTAACATCAAAATCTATCATTTTCATTCAAATCGACATCAAATTGATGTTAAATGCATCAAAAGACATCGATTCGATCATTTTATTACTCACTGCGTCAATAGAAGTTTATCTATAGGTCTATTAGATGTCTATTAGATGTCGAGAAGTAACTTGCAGTTTAAAAAGAATTTTTCATTAATAATTCACCACTATTGTGTACATTATGTATGAAAAAACACAAATAACACAAAATCACATTGCATCTAATTTAAATATTTCTAGACATTATTTTAGACTAGACTGCTCCGACGTCTGATAGATGTCTATATCCGATCTTACATTTCTCCCTGGGTGGTTATACACGATCATCTACGCATGTATTAGAAAGGATCGCGCTACTGCGCATGCGCGAGAATTCCCATAATTGGGCAAAATCAATGCTAAAAGTTGTAAAATATCTACAAGGTTATCAATAAGGTTATCACCATGTTGATTCCGGTTGTGCGACATATGGACCATCACATCCGGTAACTTTGGACCGGTACTGGCACGACAAAATATCAAAACATGTTTTCTAAATGAGACTGTCGACAGTAAAAATTTTTAAAAACAAGAATCTGTATAGAGTTATATTGATAAAAGAAAACCTAATTTTGCAAAACCCAAAAACCAATTGTTGTATGGAAGGGCGAAAATCTCAAGTAACGTTGCAGAACTTACTGACAACGAGTATACATATAATATGTAACGCCTATTGCCCTTTCTACACCTAGGGATGATCCTACTTTTACCACATCCGATACCCCTTCTATACCTAAAGCTAATCCTACTTGCAGCTTATCCGAGGGAGTAGTATACCCAAATAACACAAGGACGTCCTCAGGACGTCCTCAGGACGTCCAGGACGGACTTCGCGGATATCCTGAGGACATCCTGAGGGCATCCCGGGACTTCCTCAGGACATCCTGAGGAATAGCAAACGAGCGCCACTTTTTAGTCCTTAGGACATCCTGAGGATGCTCCACCGGATGTCCTGAGGAAGTCCCGGGATGCCCTCAGGACGTCCTCAGGATATCCGC